CGGACCAAGTACATCGCTGTGGGGAGCGCCATTGCTTTTCGTTAAGAAGAAGGATGTGAGCATGAGGTTGTGTATAGACTACCGCGAGCTCAATCAAGTGACTGTCAAGAATAAGTACCCACTCCCGATGATTGTTGACCTGTTTGACCAACTCAGAGGTGCAAGTGTATTCTCCAAGATTGATCTAAGGTCAGGCTATCATCAAGTGAAGGTGGCGGATAAGGACATACCTAAGACCGCGTTCAGGACTCGCTACGGTCACTACGAGTTCACGGTGATGCCGTTTCGCTTAACTAATGCACCCGCGGTATTCATGGACCTGATGAATCGAGTGTTCAAGACATATCTGGACGACTTCGTGATTGTGTTCTGTAACACCCCCGATTTTCACAATAATTTAAAAACTTAAATTCATAAGGCAAGGTAACAAACAGGTAGCATAAACTTAAACATCAGCGGAAGACTTTACTTAAAAACGGGAAAAACGGGAAGTGCTATGCCACATCCACCTCAATGCGGATGCACAGGCTAGTCTAAATAAAAAAGTACTAATCATGTCCATAAAACCATGGCTCACAGGCCCAAAACACTAAATAAATAGTCCAAGGAAGCTACACTAACAAACAGACAGCTAGCGCGCTCGCCATAAGCTACTCAAAACCTGTAAAGCAACATAAAGAAAGGGGACGACGCCCGGTCAGCGAACATTGGTGGTAACCCATCAATACGCGTTAAGTAGCATATAGAGATAGTATAAAACAAAACCATTTTCGAAACGGGATACAGTATATATTAGTTCAAAAGTCATAGAGAGAAGTTAACTGCAAAGACTCTATTTCACTCTCAAAAGAACAAGGGAAATCAACATACCAAGACAACAACAAGACAAGGACAACAACAGTAAACAAATACACTCGAGGCTAATTCTACTGATCACAAAGTAGAATACCACTCGACATGCTAATTAGTAAAGAAACTCATACACACATTGGCAACTACATGTCACATAACACAATTCAGAGTTCCAAGTTCCAACCTTATGTCCTGTTCCAACCTCATGGCTACCCCCGGCCTTATTACAGTTCCAACCATTACCTCTGAGAACCCTTGTACTTCTGAGTCCAACCTTATGTCTCCGAGAACCGTTGTTCCCCCACCAACAACCACCAACATTTCCACCAACACATAGTACACGAAGGTACCATTCATTTCAATCACATAACCACAAACATATGAGCCTACGCTCAGGTCACACCACCAATTTCATTCATGGCCGCCACGAGGACCACATCTGTACCTTGGAGATTAAGGTCCCATACCCTTAATCGTGCAATCAAGGTACAACCAATACACATGTTTTCATCACAGGAATCAATCAATGGATCACAACAAAGATATGAAACCATACTCAACAAGGATGAATTACAATCCGACAACAACGATGGTCAACACAAGTTGCCAACCTCGATAAGAAAGAACAAACCACACACGCTAGCATTTCAACATCAAACTAGCATGCTTATCAAACGGGTAAACCAAACATAGTTCCGTAGAACATACAAGACTCATCATGTCTAACGAATCACGAAGTTGAACACTTAGCACGATTCAAGATGCTAAATCCTACATAGATTCCTATCATACCGTTCTAGACATACGAAACTTCAAGAAGACACTCAAATAACCCAACAAAACAACATCGGGAGGTCAAAACATCAATTACCGAGTCAAAGGAATCACGGAGAACAAATCCCCGACCAACCACAAAGTTGTACCCCGTAGGTGGGGCCACGGGTGGACCTCCACCCGTGGGTACCAATGCCAAAATCATATGTACCCCGCGGGTGGGGCGACGGGTGGAGCTCTGCCCGCCGTTCTGCCCGTGGGTACACCCTGTATCACAAAATAATCCCTTTGGGGATTTTCAACAACAAGTCCATATTCAAGTCCAAAACACCCAAAATCTCATACAATACAACAATATGACTTGAACCCAAGAAATAGCCAAGAAATGGCACACAGGAACCCTAATAACAAGCTCTAGATATGCATTACCACAAGACAATGCATCAAATCTCACATTTCATCACAAACATCACAAGTAGAAGTCAAGAAATCATCATATAGGTAAGAAAATAGATTTTGTAAAGCATGGGTTACCTCTTGTAGCCTACAACTTCACTTTTCACACCTTTACAAGCTTCTAACAAGGTTCTCCTTCAACTTCAACTTCATAAACACACCAAAAGACAACAAAGATTCCATCTTTAGAAAAAGATACCTAAAAAGATATTAAAAACACCAAGAGATCAAGGATCTTACCCTCCCCTATGCTCAAGGTTAAGAAAGTATGAATCTTGGAGACCAACTTGTAGGATTTAAGACACCCAAAATTTGGCTTGAAGAAGAAGCTATCAATTTTCTAAAGAGAAGGTGGAGCTTTTGTGTTTAGGGTGTTAGTGAATGAAATGAAAGGATGATGCTAGGTTAGCTTGGGGCACAAACATTAGGTAGAAAGACTTGTTTGCCCTTACTAAGGTTGGAAGAATAAGGAGACAATGGAACAACTCATAAGGCATAGAGTACAACACTTTGACTTGGATTAACTAGTCAATTTCTAGTCCTCCGACTATTGAATTTTCAGGATTTTAGGAATAAATTACCAAATAAACTAGGATTAATTATCTAATTAATCCTTAAATAGATTTTGGATTTATGGGGTGTCACATCCTCTCCCCCTAAAAAGAAAAGCTTCGTCCCCGAAACTTGGGTACGACGAATCCAAACAAAACGGCAAAAAGAAACAACAATGTGACAAGAGAAGCAAGATCATCTTTTGACCAAAACTTCAAGAATTCAAAAAGATGCAAAAATTGTCAAGAAGTCATGGCATTGCAAGAAGTTACCAACGAAATTCGTTGAGCACAACAAACACTAAGGCCAAAACACAGCAACCAAAGACTTCTAAACACACTAGAGTTCCAACAACCAGATTCTTGTAAAACAACCCACAAAACTAACTACACAACACAACTAACAAGCAGGAAGTATAACACAAGACACACAACAAGACAACTAACAAGCGACAACAACAAGACAATAACCACAAACGAGGGAAGGAAGACGAGATTACCACAACTCCGAACTAGAAAGACTCGCTCTCCGACTCCTCGGTGTCTTCGTCAGAATCTTCATCGGCTGTTCCTCAGCTCGAACCGGCCTCTAGCTGGTCCAACCTCTGGTTGACCGCGACGAACTGCATCTTCATGTAGGCGAAGCCTTCCTCTATCATTCTGTTTTGCTGGCGAAGAAGGGTGACCACACGCTCCTCGTGTGTCATGACATCGTGTTCCCTCTTGGTCGTAGCTTCCTTCCTTCTTAGATTCTCTTCATCCTCAGAGTTTCTCTCCTCGGCTTCTTTCCCACCTTCCTCCTCTTCCTGGCCTTCATCTCCATCATTCATGGCGTCACCTCCCAAACTCTGAACTGCGAGGTTTAACTTCCCAACTGGGATCTCAAGCTCAGCAACCAACGCGTTTCTCTCAGCGGGGGCTTTCCTGGCAACCTCTACGAGTGTGATGTACTCCCCGTCCCCAATCTGAAACAAGTTGCAACTCTGAAGGTTTGTGGCATCCAACACCATTTTACCCACTGCCTTAGGTACACAACCGTCAACACTTACTCCTTTCCTGGCGAAGATCCAGCTCAAAATCAAACCATACGGTAGACTCTTTCAGTTATGATCTCGGCAAAAGACCATATGATGCAACATTAAAGCAGGCAGGTTGAACTTCACCATATTCTTCAAACAAACGGCAAACGTGCACTCTAACTTTCCCAACAGACGACTCTTGTTGTTATTGGGCAGCAAACAGTCAAAAACAAGCATAACTAAGATCCTTTGTTCAGCAGCCAACCATTTCCTTTCCGGCCTCGTGGCCTGGGTAAAATCACTAGTCCGACCCAAGAGATAACTCAAATAATCTCGATAACCCATGATATACGTCCCAATCCAGGAGTCACCACTATACTGCGAGACTCCCGTAGTGGTCAGACTTAAAAGATGAGCCAGCCTCTTCTCCGTCAAAACAATTTTCACACCCCTCACTTTAGAAGTGACCTCCAACTTTCCACCATCCTAAGTCACAGTCATGTGACGGTAGAATTCTTTCACCAAACTCGGGTAAGTCTCAACCCCGATGGCGAGAAACCCATCCAACAGACCTTGATAATTCAACATTTCCAACAAAGAGTTTGAAAAAGAATCAGGATCAAAGGCTTTACCTTCCAACACAAGGTAGTGGGCATCCACCCATTCCACTTTCCTCGTCAAATTAGACCTTCTGGGCATGATTCTGAGATGACCCAAAGACTCAAGGTAGACCAAAAACTCCCTTCTTCTTTTCTCCTTTTCTCCCCCTCCCTCTCTCTCTCTCTCTCTCTCTCTCTCTCTCTCTCTCTCTCTCTCTCTCTCTCTCTCTCGCGGCTTCTTGGTGAACCTACAACAGAACACGGCGGTGGCGGTCGGCTTCTGCTACGTTGGCGGCGAGGGCTTCGAATGGTGGCTGGACGGCGTCGGTAGGGGGTGAGTCGTCGACGGGTAGGGGTGGGGCTTCGGGTGTCTCACGGGTGGAAGGGAAAAAGGATGAAGGGTTTGGGAATTTTGGGGAAAATTGGGACAAAGAAGGTTTTAATTTGGGGATTTTTGGGTAAAGTGAAAAGATAGGTGAAATGGAATTTAAATGGGATAAGGTTTAAGAAACATAATTGGTTCAAGTGGTTCAAAGGTTGGATTAGTAACTTGCACACCGGGTTTGAAACTAGATGGCTACGAATTAAAACTTTCTAGGAAGGGTACTTAATTAAAGTTAGATGACCCAAAATAAAATAGTCGAGTTGAAACTCACTCACATAACAGGGAAAGGCACAAGATAAAGATAGGCTTAGAAAAGGTAAGGGTTACCTGCCATCTCATCTTCAACCAACTACTCTGTCTCAGCTTAGGATCGACCCATCACAAACACCCGACCTGAAGGTCTAGCTCTAGCTACACCTCGACTTGAACTCCTTCTCGATGTTCCACCGGATCCCGAGCTAGGTGGTAACACCTTTTGATTAGCTTGTAGAGGGCAAACAGGAGCCTTATGTCCTCTCTCCCCGCATTTGAAACATCGATGTGCTTGGCCTTGGCAATCTTTTCCCACATGCTCCTTTCCACATCTTCTGCATGCAAAGGTCTTAGCTTGATCTCCGGACACCGCTCGGGTTGATCCTTGAGGTGGGGAAGGTGCGGTCTTGGCTCGGAAGTCCTGTCTTGGCTTCTTGAAGTTGTGGGGTCCACCGCTTTCGTTCCTTTTCCTAGCGAGCTCAAACGATCCCCACTGCAACTGTTGTACCCGGTATAAGTCAGCAGCACTCAGATAAGCCTCCTTCAAGGTCCTCGGCATGCTCACAGTCAACGCCTTACGAGCCTCGTAGTTGAGTCTAGTCACGAACTTCTCTACCTTCGCAAGCTCGGTGGGGACTAGCATCCTTGCAAAGCGAGCGAGCTCCAAAAATCGCTTGTGGTACTCCACCACAGACGATGAACCCTGCTGGAGGTGTAGAAACTCCTCGTACCTAGCAGCTCGGACATGTGCCGAGTAAACCTACTCTCTTATCCAGTCCTTCAAAGCTGTCCAGTCGAAGTCGGGCTCCTCTTGACATACGGGTCCCTCGTGCACCCACCATAGATCGGCTTAGTGACTGAAGTAGAAGGATGCTAACTCCACTCTGCGCTCTACAGGGCACTTTACCACGGAGAAGATCTTGTCGAAGGTTCGGATCCAATCCTCGAGCATGACGGGGTCCTCCTCACTGGCAAACATCGGTGGTCTTTGGCCAGAGACTAGGCGTCCCACATCTCGATGTCCGGCAGGCTGTGGCGGCGGAGCAGGATGATTGTTGTGCAGAAGAGCTTCACTCAAGATTTGCATGGTCTGCGTGAGATGTTGCAAGCTCTGAGCCAGCTGCTTGTTATTTGGAGTCTCCGACGTACGAGCGCGTTGACGAGGTGGTGCCATGACAAAGCTTCTACAACAACAACACAGTTACTGTAACACCCCCCTAAAACCATGCTATTTAAAGCCTTAAAACATGCAGATATCTTAAAACAAAACACCAAACGCAACGGAAGACTGAAAGAGGAAATATATAAAACAAAGGAAACGGGGTGCTATGCCACGTTCACCCAAGGGTGAACGCACAGGCTAAATTTGCATTGTTTAAAATCTACAACCATCCAACAGAGTACTAAGTCTAGATTGGCTCACAGGCCACAAAACATATAAGGGGAGCTATACTAGCTGGCACTAGACCGCGCACTCGTCTAAGCATCATCCGAAAGAAGCATATAAAACATGGGACGACGCCTGGTCAGCGAATAATGCTGGTAACCCACCAATACACGTGAAAAATCATACATAGATAAGATATAAGTTAGTAAAGCCATTTTCGAAACGTAATACATATATATAAGTCAAAAACCAAGAGTAATAGTCAACACAAGACTCAACACTCTCAACAAGAACACGGGAACACATCCCCAGACCACAAGGAACAACAACGACTCACAAGAAGTCTCAAGGCATAATCTATCATCACACAATAGATTATTACCCGACATGCATAACTCAAGGAATAAAGACACAACAAATGGCAACATATGCCAAGGCAACACATGCCTTTGTGACTACACACGTCACAAGAAGAGAACTCACAACAACGGCTACACAAGCCCTCGTGACATCACCCATCACGAGTTGATATGCCTTCCTTATGCCCGGTTCCATCCTTATGGCTACCCCCAACCTTATATCTTCTTCCAACCATTACCTCCAGGACCCCTGTACAACCAAGTCTAATCTTTTCCCTGCGAGGACCGTTGTCCCCATCCGCCGATAAACCGCCAAAAAAACCACCGATTTCATAGTACACGAGAGTACCGATCACACACACGGCAACACATGCCTCCCAAGAAATGCGTGAACCTGACACACAGGTCACAACTCCATAATCACGTCATGGCCACCACGAGGACCACTGCAATACCTTGGTGAGTAGTGTCCCATACCACTAATCGTGCAATCCAGGTAAAGCCATACACACCACACCACAACAGGAATCAATCAACGGATCACAACGAAGATATGAACCCATACTCAATCAAGGAATGGATCACAGTCCAACAACAACAACGATGAATAACACAACTTATCATCAAAAATAGGAAGGTACAAACAACACACACGCTAGCATTTAAACACCGAACTAGCATGCTTATCAAACGGGTAAACCAAACGTAGTTCCGAAGAACACACAAGACTCATCACGATTCTACGAAACACAATGTTGAACACTTAGCACGATTCAAGACACCAAAACCTACATGGATTCCTACCATATAGTTCTAGACATACGAAACATCAAAATTGATAGTTTCGTTGACAAAAGACCAAATACCGAGTAAAAAGAATCACGGGGAAGAAATCCCGATCATACACCAAAGTGTACCCCGCGGGTGGACCCACGGGTAGGCCTCTACCCGTGGTCCTGCCCGCGGGTACATACACCCACAAGCCTCTCTCCCCGCGGGTGGGGCGGTGGGTTCACGCCTACCCACCGTTCTGCCCGCGGGTATGTATACCTGCACAAAATAATCCCTTCGGGGATTTTCAACTGCAAGCTCAAATTCAAGTCCAAAACAAGCCAAATCTCACCAAATACAACAAAATGACTTGAATCAAAGGAATAGCCAAGCAATGGCATACAAGAACCCTAAACACAAGCTCTAGATATGCATTTTCACAAGACAATGCATAAACACTCACATTTCATAGCAAATCACATGTAGAATCCAATAAATATTCATATTGGTAAGCAAAATAGATTTTGTAGAGCATGGGTTACCTCTTGTAGACCAAAAACCTTCACTTAACACCTCACCAAGCTCCTATCAAAGCTCACCTTCCAAACCCACTTCAAGAACACATCAAAAGATCATAAAGATTCTATCTTTAAGAAAAGACGCCTTAGAAAACACTAAAAACACAAGATAAACATGGATCTTACCCTCCTAGATGCCCAAATGTATGAAAGGTAGAATCTTGGGGACAACTCTTGAAGTCTTGGCAAAGCTTCAACTTGGCTTGGAAGAAAAGCTATCCACCTTTTTAGAGAGAAGGTGGAGCTAGAATTTGGAAAGTGTAAGGAAAGAAATGAGGGTGTTCTTACTAGGTTAGGTTACAATACTAACACATGGTGAAAGTTCAAGAATACCCTTACTAACATGAAGGGGTGTAAGGAAAAAAGGGAACTCCTTACAAAGCTCAAGGTACAACTTTGACTTTGGGGTTGACTAGTCAATTACTAGTCCCCGACTATTGAATTTCAGGAATTTAAGGAATTAGATTACAAATTGAAATAGGATTAATTACTTAATTAATCCCTTAATCGAATTTGGATTTCGGGGTGTCACATTCTCCCCCCTTCAATGAAGCTTCGTCCCCGAAGCTTGGGTACGACGAATTAGAACAACGGTAAAAAGGAACATCAATGTGACAAGAGTGTCAAGAACAATTTCTTTTGGTTAAAACCCCAAAAGATTCCACAACATTTCAAGGCAAGAAAGGGTTCAAAACAAGGATTGGCAAGAATTAGACAAACGGATATATTGAGCATAACGAACTCTAGTCCCAACACCAACACCAACTTCTAGCCAACAACTAAGAACTAAACAACTAACTCAAAACACCAACTACAAACCCACTATCCAACAAAGCAACAAGCAAGAACAAGCATAAAAGCAAGCAACAACTAAACGGCAACAATGGCTAGGAAGATAACAACAACTAAAGAAGAGCAAACAAGACGGCCACAGCTCCACTCTAGAAGGACTCGCTCTCCGACTCCTCGGACTCCTCAGATTCTTCTTCATCTTCTCCTCTGCGGCTTGAACTGGCTTCGATCTGGTCAAGCCTCTGGTGCACTACGACAAACTACGTCTTCATGTACGCGAAGCCTTCTTCGATCATGCGGTTCTATTGACGAAGCAAGGTGACAACGCGCTCCTCATGTGACATGGCATCATGCTCCCTCTTGGTGCGAGCTTCCTTCCTTCTTCGATTCTCTTCACTTTCAGAATCACTTTCTTCAGCCTCGGCGGCTTCTGGTGCTTCCACTTCCTCCTCACGGCCTGCTTCACCCTCATCTTCTTCATCACCACCCAAACTCTGGACTGTAAGGCTCAACTTCCTGGCATGAATCCCAAGCTCTGCTGCCAACTCGGCTCTCTCCTCGGGGGCTTTTCTTGCAACTTCTTCAAGAGTGATGTAATCACCATCATCTAGCTGAAACAGATTGCAACTTCGAAGATTGGTGGCATCCAGCACCAACTTTCCCACAGCATTCGATAGACAACCAACCACACTCACACCCTTCCTAACAAGAATCCAGCTCAACACCATGCCATACGGTAGGCTTTTTCGGTTATGATCACGACAGAAAACCATATGTTGCAACATCAAAGCTAGCAGGTTGAACTTGACCATATTCTTGAGGCAAAAGGCAAAGGTGCATTCCAGCTCTCCCAACAACTTACATTTGTTGTTATTGGGTAACAAACAATCCGAGACCAACATAACCAAGATCATCTGTTCCGCAGACAACCACTTTTTCTCCGGCCTCGAAGCTTGGGTGAAACCACTCGTGCGACCCAACAAATAACTCAAATAGTCCCGGTACCCCATGGTATCCATACTAATCCATGAGTTACCGCTATATTGAGCAACTCCCAAAGCAGATAAACTCAAAAGCTGAGCCAGCCTCTTTTCAGACAGAACTATCTTCACACCTCTCACTTTTGAGGTGATTTCAAGCTTATCACCATCCTTTGTCAAAACCATGTGACGATAAAATTCCTTAACCAAACTCGGGTAAGTCTCGGCCCTTATGGCGAGAAACCCATCCAACAAACCTTGGAATCTAAGCATTTCCAACAATGAATCAGAAAAAGATTCCAGGTGAAAGGCTTTACCTTCAAGAACAAGGTAATGGGCATCCACCCATTCCGCTTTCCTAGCCAAACTTGACCTTCTAGGCATGGTAGGAGATGACCCAAAGCTCAACAAGAGAAGCCCGCAACTCCTCCTTCTTCTCCTCTCACTCCCGGCGGCTCTCCCTCTCTCTCGCTTCGCTCTCGGCGTCGCGGCACGCACAGATCAGCGGCGAAGCTTCTGCGGACGGTGGACAGCGGCAGACGGCGATGTGGCGACGGCTGGTGGTGCGTCGGCAGCTGCAGGTGGTGGCGACGGGTGGGGTGGGGTGCTCGGGGGTTCACGGGTAGGGAAGAGAGGAGAAAGAGAGATTTGGGAATTAGGGATTTTGGGGAAAAATTGGGAAGAAGATGATTTAATTTGGGGATTTGGGTAAAGTGAGAATTTGAGGTTCAAATGGAATTAAAATTGAATAAGTTCTAAGAACGATGATTAGCTCAAGTGGTTTAGAGGTTAGGTGGCAAAAAAATAGGCCTTGGTTCGAAACTTAAGAGGTGTAATTAAACATTTTGCTTGGATTTTAGTCTACACAAGATAGGATTTTTGCATGGGTTTTCTATTCTCACATTCAAAGGATACTTGGAAAATTTTGAGGGTTCTCAAAGGAAAGGTTGCAAGAATTTCCAAGTGCACGGATTGTAGAATCGTTCCAAGCATGATTTATTTAGAAGATAAATAACTACTTTTACAACGAGACTTACCCACAAAACTAGGGAAATAATCTATCAAGAAGGGCTTACACTTAACTCCAAAGAATCATTATCAACGAAATATGACAAGGGTAGCCAAGTAACTCAAGTATGCAACAAGGACACAGGACAACACTCAAGGTAACAAGGAACAAGATGTGCACAAAGAATAAGGGTAGGCTAGGAAAGGATTACATGCTAGCTCCTCCTCTACTAAACCCTCGGTCTCCGCTTGCGAACGCCCCATCACAAAGACTCTCCCTGCTGGCCTGGCCCCAGCTG